TTATTAGCATGTTTAGACAACATATTTTTTAATCTAAATTTTATTTAATTTAGTATGTTTAAAATAATAGTAGCATTAATGTATAGTTAATTCACTAAAATATTTTTAGTATATATACATTTATCATCCTGATTTTAAGACTGCTTGAGGATATTTAAAAACAAATGAATTTAATTAATCTTAAGTATGATAAAAACTTCATACAAAATATACACACGTTTATTTTTCTATATTGTGCGCATTAAAAAAAGCAGACAGACGGGAATGGGAGTGCCCGTTTGAACGCTAGTATGGATAAAGTCAATACCTTAAGCCATGAACCAACAATTCTTCTGGAGATAATATTTAACATATGTCTCATAAAATAGTATTCAAAAGAAAAGCTATCAGATTGTTTTCATGACTACAAATAATTTTCATATAGTTAGTAATTAATACACATAAACCACAAGTAATACATTATCGAAAATAAAAAAAAAAGTCAAAAAATACAAATAATACTTACTTTTAGAAAAAAGAAGCTTGGCTTTCTACCTTGTAGATTACATTTCACAAAATTGTATTCCTCCATAGCTCTACATATTGTTAAAAATTTAACATGAATAAAAACTATTTAAAACTAAAGGTAAAATTTAAGTATTACAAATAATACCACTTACCCGCTCAAAACGTCATGTATATTTTCATAAAGTTTTTAGTGTAACGATCAAAACATTATAAAATACTTTGCTTCAGACATATAATAACTAGTTGTCAATGCGAAATGCATAATCATTCATAATAATTAATAATATGTATAAAATTGATTTATAAAATAAAACACAAATTAATATATACATACGCATGGTAAAACGGTCTCATGTAACTTTTTTTATTCTCATTAACCAAGTTATTTTTGTATGTACATCTTGATATTGTTTGTTGACATATCTTGAAATTGAATGTTCAATAGATCTAAGAAATAATACTTTCTTAATTTTCTTTCAACACACATCTCATGCACGAACTTAATTAAAAATTAATGTAAAAGTAAAATCTTTATATTAAAGCATGAGAACAATGAACATAAATTGAAATCACCGTAAAAATTATACTTACGAGCACTACAATCATAGTACGGTTATGTCCAGCCAATCATATGCCTTCAAAAATTCCATAATACAACTCTTCGAAAGTATATAAGCTTGTTTTGGTTCATGTTTTAATGTAATAAACTCGCAGATGTCGTGAATCTCTACTATCATCCTTGGTAGTCTCTGAGTGTTATCTACTTGAGATGGTGTGGTCTCAATATTCTACTGCGGGGTATAACAACTATCTTCCGTGCTTGCACCATCCATAATAAATTTCTCAACTAATTTCTCAAGTCCAACTGATATGAAATTGGGTGACTGAGTACATCCATTAATTTCATTTGCTGCATCATAAAAAAAAAAGAAATACAATACAAAATTAAAATACACAAACAATAACAACAACATACAATATTTTTTTAAACTTATACTTATACCTCAATCACATCATGAGTACACTCCACTCGTACTTCCTCAGACAACTTTTCTCACTCCTCCACAGCCAACTTCTCTCACTCCTCTTGGACCATCTCCCGCACCTCTTACGACATCCTCTCCTGCCCTTCTACAACATCATCTCCCTCTCCTCCAAATTTAACCTCCCACGTTCCTCCTGAGTCCACTTCTCCACCGCCTCCTGAATCCACTTCTCCCGCTTCTGTTCAAATACCTCCCTCAATTTTTCAGAAACTATCTCTTTAATTTCTCTCTTATAATTTACTTTATTAATTGATTAGGATGATTCAAAATGTAACTTCTATCCGACGTCTCTTTAAGACTACAAAGACGCCCAACATGCTCCTTGGTTTCAATCGCTTATATCAAGATGTCATGATGATCTCGTGGAATGAAGATACCAAATTTGGATTGTTCAACTAGTACACCTTTTAACACATATAAAATTTCATCATTACCAAATTGAATACACTAAAATAAGTAATGTTGAAAATTTATCTATTTACAATCTTTTCAGCCACTTCATGTGTAGCCTCTAATGTGAAATCGCCACCTGGTATTTGATGTGCCATCTTCCATTTCTCATGGCGTGATGGTAGAGATGGACTACAATCAAGGCTTCTAGAAGGATCTCTCAGCTATAGTTCCCATTGTTTTCTTTTTTCATTAATCATTTTCTATTTAAGTATATCATATCCTCCACGAGATTATCTGTATGGGTAGATATTTCTAGCTCTATTCTCTTTTCCTTTTTGGCTCTTAGACAAAAATTAGGAGTTGTGCGTTTTAGAATAAAATTTGTTCATACCCTTAAACAGTTTTCATGATAACAAAGTATTTAAAGAACAATAAGTTTACTAATGGTTGCTTAAGTGTCTATGATTAAAATACATTAACCTTGATATAAATCAAGTTAATCACTTAGAAGAACAATTAAAGAGAAACAAAGTTGTTCTAAATCTGAAGGATCAGAACCAAGCTTTCAGACTCTGAAGAGTCAACTCAAGTCTTTCAGATGCCGAACCTAAGCTTACTCTGCTATAAGGACCAAGCAAAGCTCTAAAGATTGGAATCATTTGAAGCAAGTGTGCTCTGTTATAAGGAACGAATCTGCATCTTCTGAACAAGCTTCATCATCATTTCAGAAGATACTGCTTCAAAGGAATTTGTTTACATTAAGTCATCAACTCTGAAAGTGGTCATCCAGACTAGTTCTGATCAAGACTCTGATGAAGGCAAGCTCCAAACTTGTTAACTCAAGACTCTGAAGTCTCATTCTAACCATGTTTCGAAGACATACATTATCTTCTGATCATGCTTTAACTAATTCTATAAAAAGCCTCTGATTCAGAAAACTAAGTATAATGATAACAATGACTCTGAGCAAGTTTTAACAAACGTCTACAAGAAGTTCCTAGTCAGAAGTTACCCAAAGAAGATCAGTGACAAAGGTACACTACTTTATGTCTAATCAGCATAAAGTAATGTTGTTAGGATCTTCTCTCTCTAACTGTGCTGAATTCTGCTTTGCTACTCTCAATGTCTTTATTCTAGCTGAGTTTTAGCTCACCTTATTGTACACTAGCTAAAGACCTTCAACGACTACTTGTATCATTGGTAGTCTCAATCTTCAACAAATCTTTTCTTAGCATCTATTTAAAAAAGAAGATTGAAAATATTCACAAGACTCTTGGGGAAGACCTCTCTTGATGGAATGAATGTTGGTTGAAGAGTGTGTAACTCTGTTCACATGGATGTGATACTAGTTCACATAAATGAGTTGAGAGAAACTGTGTTTCACAACAAAAAAAAGCAGTTGAGAGAAACACACTCAATATAGCTAGAAGGGTTAAGTGTGTGAGAGCAAAGTGAGATATATTCACATATGTTCTGAAGAAAGAATATGTGAATATGATCAACAAAACAAGAAGGCACAACAAGATGGAAATTTATGCAAGGAGAGAAGAAGAATGAAAACTTTATTCTTCTACACTTATGAGCAAACAACTCATATTCTGCTCAAGAGTGTAAACCTTTGTGTATCTGCTTATATAAGAAGCACACATATAAACACAAGGTAAACACCAGATTCTTCTGTTTAGAGAATCCGAAGACTCTAGTCTCTGTGCTCAGAGTAAGTCTCTTTTTGATGATTGAGCATTGAAGTCTCATGTTTGCGGGCATAACTAAAAGTCTCGATCTGGATAGGTTGAGCATTAAAGTATCATTCTTGCGGGCAGAGCAGGAAGTAGAAGGTTTGTAGATTAGTTAAAATCCTTCTAAAGAAATCTACTACACTTTTCAGTAAGCTACATAGTCTATAATGCCAACAAAAGTTTGAATAGTTCCAAATGATACTTTAATTTCGACTACAATTTTGACTATTACTGTTGCAACATGATTTTATTTTAATTAGCATAACATTATGTGTGTATGCAAACTCGTAGGATCAGTGTGCTGAGATTCAGGTAGGATCAAAATAGACAAACTCGAAAAATTGGCACGAATCGAGCAACAAATGTATTCTTAGCTATTTGTTGTGGTGCTTCTTACTTTTAGGATTTTTTTTATTTATAAAAAAATCTAATTTTTTAACAGGATTGGATCCAGTCCGGGTTCACTTAAAACTCATAATTAATTATTATTATTATTATTATTATTATTATTATTATTATTATTATTATTATTATTATTATTATTATTATTATTATTATTATTATTATTATTAATTAGTCATAGACATAGTCACACACTTTTTTTTAAAAAAAATTAACAAAAAGATTAATTACGATTATATATTACTCCTTAAACCAATTACTATCATTAAAATCAATACACTTAATTATTTTTTTAAAAATCACACATTACAGACACTTATGATACGAAGGAGGTAGTATTAATTAGCAATTAACATTTTTCGTCTTCTCTATACATTATTTTTGCTTACTATAAAGTGCAATCCTTCCTTTTCCTATAAATATATCAGTAACAAATTTTTAATTTCCTACCAATTATACATAGAATTTCGAGTTTTTAAACATTGATAACATTATAATTTATTACTTGTTATATATAGCTAATATTTTAAATTTTTTCCTTAAAATCTCATCTTTTCATTATCAACTTTTAATCACTTAAAAATATCTCTAACTCTTTAAATACTCCAAAATGAACATGCAAAGAGAAGAATAATAGCAAAATGAGTACCGCATAGTCTATGAGACTTCATGTTATAATTGAACCCACTATGTTGCTGCATGCATATAGTCAATTCACTTTTCAGTGTGTTTACCCATCAAACTGCTATTGGGGCTTGATGTAGTTACGAATATCATGCAATGTGTACAACAATTTTAAACCTTGAAACAAGTAATCACAATGTGCCACGTTAAAATCGCATTACCTCCAAACTACAAAGTCTATCATGATCTACATCTTGAATCATGATCTGTATTATATATATATGACCATCTACAATTTTGAGTGCTTCTTTAACCAGTCGTCGGCATCTTTGCCATTTTTTGGAACGGGCATGTTGCATTTAACAGTTACTCTAGAAGATGCAATCAACAATCTGCTTTGTGAGTTTGAAGGATCAATCTTCCAGATTCTCACATCCCACACCTGCCTCACGAAACACTATATTAGTAATTGAGAATACTAATATAATGCGACTGCAACTATTATTTAAAACCATGATCATAATAAGAAGAGAATGAACCTGGATGGATTTGCCAACAGTCAAAGGTGTGGCTTCAGCATGAATAAAGTCACCAATCACAGCTGATTTCAAATGATTGATGCTAAGTTGAATTCCTACAACCCTTTTATAACCACAAGCAACATGTGCTCCAATACTGGCTAGTGCTTCTGCTACCAATGCTGATACACCTCCATGAAGCATGTTATATGGCTGCAACCATTATAATAAATAATTTAGAACCCCATAGAAAATAACTGTATTGACACAAAACCGTATTAGAAAATGCCAATACCGTTTTCATAAAAGCATGATATGACGATTGCGAAAACTGTTACCGCAATTTTATGGATATAAAATATAAATCACAGGAAATGTTCATTGTGATTAATTCACACTACAACCATCAATATGAAAATATAACACTTCTACTTGTTGAAATCACAAAAGTCTTAACGCAACCATACGGCATTTGGAGAAAACTATCAAATAATTGTTTAAAAAAAGAAAGAAAAAAGGTTTGACCTGGCAACATTTTTGGGTGAGATGAAGATTGCCAGAAACTTTGTCTGCTGATATATCTTCAAACTCAAATCCTATGGTATGAAGGGGTACATCCACATCAACAGTTTTTAATTTTGCCGATGATGATGTTTTGTTCTCCATGATAACAAATCGAAAAAGGGTTTTCTATTTTGTGTTCTCTCTTGCTCACAATTTTTATGTATTTATTGATTATTCACAAGAGTGTCAAACATACAAATTGTAAATTGTTGTGATTAACTGAGGAATCCTTGGGAATTGTTGTTTAAAAGGGTATTTTAGGGTTTAAAAGGGTATTTTAGGGATTAAAAAATGAAAGTTTATAGTTGGACGGTGAAGTCTGAGGTTGGTTATTTTTTAACTGCCGTAAATCCGGATCCACAATTTTATGATTTTTATCAGCATTTTAACATGAAATTTAGAGTTTTTTTTCTTCTTTTTTTAGGGAAGTGGTAATAACCACTACAATTTGTACATACAATTATACAATTGTAAATTTTCTAGTTTCAAATTTTAATTATGATATCAAACATAATTTTAATAAAATATTAAAAAACATTTTATTTAAGCTAAAATTTTATACTATTAATTATGCTTTTAAACTCTGTTTGATAAAAGTAGCCGATAATTATTAAGTTAGTTCATAGTTTTGTAATGTTATATTTGCAAATCACTTGTTTAGTATGACAAATTGGGATTGCTCAAGGAAAGAAGCGACGATGTAATATCGTCTGAAGAGAGGTACCACATCGTCTTTACGTTTTTCTAGTCCATATGAGATAAGACACGTCTTGGATAATAGGAAAGTCAAAATAGTTACTGACCCATGTATCTTTTGGAATTAGGAATTCAACAGTTCTTCTTTTGATTGGGTGAGCGGCAATCTTTTTTAAGAAAGCTCTAGGAATCATGATTCGATAAATACCACATCCCTCAAAGGAATGAGGGATCAATTCATATTCACTCAATACCACCTAATACTGCTGAGAGAGCTTTTCGCTCCTAGTAGTCCTAACACTGATTCTTTAACCTCCTGCTTGCAAATTAGATACGTCGACCACCAACAAAACCTCTCACTTCATGTGAGTTGGTCCCTTAAACAACCTCAAAAACAACTACAAATGGCTATTCGTCGTCATGAGTTAACCCGCACCCCATTCGTGTGATATACCTAGTAAGGTCTCTGAGTCTCCATATCTCTATGAGGGTTCTACACCACACACCAATAACCATCGCCAGAGGTATCTCTGAGAGGGGCATCTCCAAGACCGCCCGACGGAGATATGCAAGGCAAGTACTTGTTGCCAACGTCATATCCTCCGATTTTCCTAAAAGCATTGCAAGAGCAACCAGGGCCAACATAATTTTCTCTTAAGAACATGCCCTAGGCATAAATCCTCATGACAATAATCCCTTAGTCATCACCGTTTAGCAAGGCAACTAGATATCAGACGCGTCCTGATATACCTAGGTAGCTCAGCAGATGTCCTGTTTTAGGACGTCTTCCAAAAGTTACAACTGAATCTGCACAATGTGTAGGGGTTCACAGGCTCCCTAACACAGTTATTGGGAGAACATACAGATAATGAGCTATGTGACCCTAAAACCCATATACGGGGAGGAAGCTGACGCCAAAACCATCAACGTCAACTACCTCATTGTGGACACCACCAACTTCCTAGGAGCGGTCGCGTCAACTCGAAATTTAACCTTGTAATATCCACTCCTAAATGGAAGATCAAGCATCATTTAGGGAGATCGATAAATTGCTCGCGAGTGTTATCTGAGCAGCATGGAGAAATCTAGAGAAAAGCTCGCATCATTAGATGCCTATTCCTTCGATGTTCCAAATACTAACATCGAGGGTTGGGACCCCATATAGGATGCATAAGAGGAAAAACTCACCCATAGAAAACTTGAAGAAAGTCCAAATAGGACCTCATGCCCATCAAGTCATAAAGATGGGCACCTCCTTGTCTGCAAGAGAGGAGCGGGAGCTAGCCGACCAAATCAGAAGAAACATATACCCATTCACCCGAGCCCCCTAAAACATGTCAGGAATAGACACCAAAGTCGTGAGCCATCACTTTTCCATCCATCCGCCAACCAGACCAGTGGCGCAAAGAAAGTAGAAGATGGGCGAAGAAAATAGGGCCTCCATTGATAAAAAGGTGGTAAAATTATACAACGTCAGATTCATCACTAAGATGAAGTTCCCCACTTGGCTGGCCAACATGGTCCTGGTGAGATAGACAAACATCAAATGACGCATGTGCATAATCTTCACGGATTCGAACGTTGTCTATCCCAAGGACCCATATCCTTTGCTAGATATCAAACACCTGATTAACAAGTCCTCAAGATATCGAGAGCTAATTTTTATGGGTTCCTACTCAAGATACAACCAAATCAAGATGGATCCATTGGATGCCCCCAAAACTACCTTCATGTCAAAATAGGGAAACTACTACTACAACTTCATGCCTTTTTGCCTCAAAAATCTTGGCGCCACCTACCAGCGACTTATGGATGATGTGTTCACCCACCAGATTGGGAAGAACCTCAAGGTATATGTCAATGACATGATTTTTAAGACGGGAGAAATACAGATTCATGCCAACGACCTAGAGGATATCCTACATTCACTAAGAACATATGACATGTGCATAAACCTTGCCAAATGCTCTTGTGGAGTATGGTCAGTGAAATTTCAAGTATTTATGCTGACGAGGAAGGGGATTGAAGCCAATCCAAACAAGTGTTAGGCAGTCATTAATACGAGAAACTCCACTAATGTGATGGAAGTTTAACTTCTTATTAGACGTCTAACCTCCCTTTCTCGCTTACTTTGTTGCACGAGCGATAAAGCTTTCCTTTTCTACGCTGCCCTAAAGAAAAAATAGAAGTTAGAATGGAAAGTCAAGTGTGATGAAGAATTCGACAAGATCAAGGAGTTTCTCACATCACCCTCAATCCTCACTCGCCCGAAGGAAGACTCACCTTTTCTCCATGAGCTCACTCTTTGTCCATGAAATAGATAAAGTGGAGAAGCTTGTGTATTTTGTAAGTAAAGTATTCAAGGATGCGAATACGCGTTACCAAAAGATCGAGAAGCTCGCGTTAGTCGTTGTCACTGAAGGAAGAAAACTCCGATGTTATTTCCAGATACACCTTATCCTAGTAAAAACCTAACTACCCCATCCTCCAAGTGTTGAAGAAACCCGACCTGGCGGGAAGAACGGTATCCTGGTCGGTAGAGCTCTTGGAATACGACATTTAATATGTTCCAAAGGGAAGTATCAAGTCACAAACCTTGGTCGATTTCGTAGCCAAGCTGAGTTCACCCGATGAAGAGGAGCCACCGTTGAAATGAGCATTATCTGTGGATGGCGCCTCTAATATAAAAGGAAACAGTACAAGAATAGTACTCGAGGGACCATACTATATATTTATTGAATAGGCATTGAAGTTCAGGTTCACCGCCAATAAAAACTAAGTGGAATATGAAGCACTCATCTTCGATATAATCCTTGCCCTAGAAATGGGAGCTACCATATTAAAAGCCAAAACTCACTCTTAGATGGTAACCAACCAGTTCTCGAGATAATACCTGTCTAAAGAGCCTGTGTTGAAAAATATTTGCAGAAGGTATGACATATGTCCTCACTTTTTATTTCATTCAAATTAGAGAACGTCCTCAGTAAATAGAACCTCAGGGTAGACCCCTTGTCAAAGTAGGCCACCTTGAAGTTTGCGGGGTTTAATAGGAAAATCATACAGGAAATTTTGGCCTCCCCCAGTATCGGGACAGATGAAGTATACTCTGTAGAGCTTATTCTGAAGTCCAGTTGGATGTCACCCATATTGTGTTACCTACATTCTGGAGAACTCCCACCTGACGGGGGAGAAGTGAGGAATATCATGAGAAAAGTTGCCAAGTACACCATGCTCTTTGGGAAGCTCTACAGAATGGGGAAGTCTACTCCAATGTTGAGATGTATAAATGAGAACGACATCACTTTAGTTCTCGTAGTACTCCATAAGAGAGCCTACAACAACCACATAATTGGAAAGGCTCTCACCCGCAAGCAATTAAGAGTGGGTTACTACTAGCCCATATTAATGAAGGATAACATCGCCTTTGTCAAGAAGTGTGATCATTTCCAAAGACACTCTGACCTTCACCATACTTCAACAGAGTTCCTTCGATCAATAAATTCTCCCTGGCACTTCTACGAGTGTGGTGTGGGCTCATTTCCTCTAGCACCATAAGAGCTGAAATTCTTGATATTAGGGGTGAACTATTTCACCAATAGATAGATGCTGAAGTAGTGGAAAAAATCATGACATAAAGAGTTAAGTGCTTTTACTAATCGAGGATCATGTTCCAGTATGACCTCTCCAGCACCATTGTTTCAGACTTCTGCAAGGATCTGTGTGTGTAGATAAAGTTCGTATTTGTGGTACATACTTAAGCCAACGAACATACTGAGTAAGCAAACAAAATAATCCTAAAAGGACTCAAGGAGAAGTTAGACAACGCCAAAGGTCTGTGGGAAGAACTGCTCTACGAGATACTATGGTCGTACCTCACCACGCCATAATCCACCAGCAAGGAAACCCCGTTTTCGATGGTTTATGGGGTGGATGCGATGCTTCTCATAGAAATCGAGATGTAGTCATGGAAACAAGCACATTACAAAGAAAAATCAAACAAGATAGGATTGAAGTGTGCGACAGATCTAATCGACAATCTACAAGAGGTCGTCCAAGACTGAAATTTTTTTGCCAAACATAGAGCCGTCAGGAGATACAAATCCAATGTAAAGCTAAGAGAGAATTAGGAGGGCGGCCTGGTGTTAAAGGAAGTATCTATACCTGTACAGTAGAGGAAGCTACAACTTAACTGGGAAGGTCCATATCACATATACCAAAAACTTCCTCATGGAGCATACAAACTACAAGAGCTTAAAGGACCGCTCTTACTCCGGACTTGAAATGCGCTCCACCTCTATTACTACTATTATTAAAATTATTTGTAAGTTTCCCATATACGTTATGCCTGTGTAATTTTTAACATTAATTCAAATGTCTTTTTCCACAGAGGGACCTTTCACTTCAAA